GAGTTTAATGTTTTCTGCAAATTATTTATAAAAAATAATAAATTAATTACAATTTTTTTGTTAAATCATCTGATTAATTCATTATACGATTATTTATGGAATGCCAAACTGCGTACCGGCTGGGTTTGATTTACTGACAAAAGATTTTCCGCACTGTCTGCTCATATAATTAACTTGCAACTGTGATTAAGCGTAGTTATATAGTTTCATGTTCGTTTGTTTGTTCTCAAGGTTTGTATATGCCCTTTTATGCTTGCTTAGTAGTATGTCTGTATTTTGTTTGTTTGTATGTATGTATGTTTGTTTTTGTTGGTGTGTAAGATTGTATGTCGGTGATTAACTTTGAGAATGTTGTTTAGCCATATTTTTGCGCTTTTCTGTGCTGTTAATTAAAAACATTCAATGCGATAAACAGATATGCTAATAATTGCGAGTATTCCGTTGAAAACTAAATCAATATAACGTGATTGAGTCATTGAGTCGATGAATGGTACTGATGCTGAGATCTGGTTGAGCAAGTCGGTCCTTTCCTTGTGTTTCACATGTGTGTGTGTGTGTGTGTATGTGTGTGCGTGATTGTTTTTGTGTGTGTGTGTTTTTGTGTATGTGTGTCTCCTGTGTGCTTGGTTCTGTTTGCGCGTATGTTTGATTTTGTGTGTTTTTATTGAAATGTGTATAAGTTTTGTATGTGCCTGTGTGTGTGTGTGTGTGCGTGCGTGTGTGTGTAGTGGTTTTACGTGTATGATTGGTGATGGCGTTTATGATGATTAACTACATTGATAATGGTTATTAAAATTAGATTAATATAGTGTTGATAAAAATAATGATGATGTTGACGATAATGAATACTGTGTTATAATGATGATAATGAATGTGATGATGACAATGGCGATGATGGGGACGAGGACGATGACGATGATGATGACGTTGATGAATACGATGATGGAGACGATGATGATGACTATCACGACTTTGAGACCGGTGCAACTTCATTGAACTTTTTCAAAAACAGCTGGCATGATAATACTTTAAATTTATAATTCTGGGTTTTCAAATCTCAAAACACACTTAAATTGACACAACCGCACGCCACTCTTACACACGCACACACACACACACACACACACACTCTCACACACACACACAAATGATCTTAATGACGTCATTGCACTCAAACTGTGACGTCAATTATTTCCTACATATTTTTTGGACGCACAATCACATTGAAATACATTAAAATGCAAATTTAAACATTGAGAAATTCATCGTTAAAACGTGACGTGAAATAAAATAAATCCAAGTTAGATTAAAGATTTCATTCAGGTAATGAATTAAATTTTTTGCTTCCTAAAATTTTTTAGCGGGACTGAGCTCAAATTAATAAGCAACATGTTTGGGCAGTTAATAATTTAAAATGTTTAACAAATGTTAAGCAGATGAATCACAAACAAACGTTAATAAAATTAAAAATATTGTGAGCGTGTGAGCGTGTGTGTGTGAGTGTGTGTGTGTGTGTTTATATTTAATGGATTGATTGATGGATGGATAGATGGATTGATAGATAGATGGATAGATACATGCACTATCATTTTTATTTCCATCACCGCAATCAATAGAATTTTCTAGCAAGTCACAAAAGACACAAGGTAACCAATAACACGGAAAAGCAATAAACCATCCGGGCAGCTACAATATAAACTACAGTTATAACTCACACGCATTTCTTTGTGATAGTAGTTAGTGGCTTAGCCAAAAAGAAATGTGGAAATAATAATACATAAATTCACACACACACCACACACACACACATACACACATACTTTACACACCAACACATTACACACAACACACACAACACACGCACACACTTTACACACATACACTCACTTAACACACGCACACACACACAAACACTTTACACATATACACTTACTTAACACAACACACACACAACACACATAAACACATCACACACATACACTCACTTAAAACACACACACACAAACACATCACACACATACACTCACTTAACACACACACATACACACACACACATGTATATAAATATATTGAATTTATATTATTTTTTAGACGATCACGCGATTCTTTGTCTTCTCATCGAGCTGCCATCTTCGAAGCGCGCCAAAAATACATACACACACACTTCTGTATCCATTGACAAGCTGGTTAAGCAGTTGTTTTAGATAGGTTATTTGTATTATCATTATTATGATTACCATTATAATATTATCATTATTATTATTATTAAAATTATCATTATTATTATTATTAGTGTTATATTTTTATATTTATATTATTATTATTATTATCATAATTTATTTTATTCGTTACAGTTATTTTATTCTACTTGTCAAGTTGTTTCATTTTATTGTCATTTTTTGTTATTATTATTATTATTATTACTATTATTTATTATTGTTGTTTATTATTATTATTATTTGTATCTATAAGCTGACCAAAAAAGTATCCATTCTGTTCCTAAATATAGATATACTGACAATAAACAAGGAAAATGTTGGTTGAAAAATGGCAGGTTTTTTATTTGCAATTTATGCTTACCTTTTTGTTTCAAACATTATTTTGTTGCGTTTTTTCAAACTATGCTCTGTGAATATTTTAATAATTTTTCACAAAATAAACACTCGTCAAATTAAAATATTAAAAAAAATAAAATTTCGTACGTTGTGTAATTTTTACGTTCAAATTTGAAAAATAACTTTAAAACTTGCTGTCATATAATCAAATTAAATCATCAGTCTACAATTTCGAAAACTGTGAAATTATGCCTCCTCTATTGAATCAATTGTATTTTTCCATGGACTCTTGTTATCTAACCCATCGTCATTCACAAATCCGACTTTGCAGATATAATTATATTGTATTATAGTATAATTATATTATACTTATGTTATTATAATTCAATTTTTAATAAATCAAACAAAAACGTGTGGAGTAGGTAGGTACTTTTCATACTTTCATACATACATTTTACTCTACTTTACTCTACATTTTACTTTATTTTACTCTACATTTTACTTTATTCTACATTTTACTTTACTTTACGTTTTACTTTACGTTTTACTTTCTACATGCTCGACTGCCTCGTGTTTTTATCCCTTAATATAAAGAGTTTTTGATCCTGGAAAAAACACAAAATAAAATTTCAACTATTTTTAGGTTTTTGTGAAAAAAAATCTTGAAATATTAATCTGAAAGTATGTAACTAAAATTCGTAGCAAAAATTAGCTTCACCTAAAAATATATACAACTAAACAAAACAATAGCGTGACCAGAAACTTTTGTGTGGAGGAGAGGTTAAAAGAAAGAAGCAATCTCTTATGCTTATTCCACATTTTTCGTTCACCTTTAATTTGTTTCATCTGTTTGCTAGTGAATCCGTATTCGTGTTCATCAACAAAGTGAAGATAGTTTAGCTTTTCTTTCATTGGGAGCGTTACAAAAATGTTGTTGCATGAAGGTGAGGGTTTTTTTTCATAGTACCATCTTCAACAAGGCTGCCAACACGTGAGTCACCGATTGGATTTGGTTTCAACCTGGACCTAGAAAAATTAGTCTCATTATATCGTATTTATTACCTCTAGCCAATCATCCAAACCCAAACTGTCATTATAACAGTGCACCAATTAAAAAACATGACGTCACTGTGGGTCGGTGTGACGTCATTTCCGCTTTTACTTCAAGTAGCTTATGATGTAAAGATTTCACGATAGGGCTATACCAGGAAAACTTCAACAATCCATATACCTGCTAAGAGTTACTGAAACGACAACTAGGAATATAAAAAACAAAAATAAGTTCTAAAGTCAAAACAATTTTCTCGATAAGAAAATAAATTTTTTACTAGAGCATTATCACGCAGCATATTTCTCAGTTGATTGAAAGAAGCTGTAAAAGTGATAGGTTGTCAAGGACGTTGTATTTCAAGGAACATCGGATGGTAAATGTTTTTAATGTTATGACTTTAGATATAGAATAACATATATAGCTCTTCGATTAACAGAGCTACATTATAAATAATATATTGTTATTTGCGATAGAAATTTAACATTGAATGATTTAACCGTGTCAAATCGATATTTGATATTATATGATATGATATATGATATGATATATGATATGATATATGATATGATATGATATGATATATGATATGATATATGATATGATATATGATATGATATATGATATGATATATGATATGATATATGATATGATATATGATATGATATATGATACGATATATGATATAGGATATGATATAGGATATGATATATGATATGATATATGATACCATATATTAGCGTACTATCATGTACTAGGGATACCGTTTTAACTTTTACAGTTCTCGTGTGTTCGTTTTGATATTTTTTATGGATATTTTTATTTATTTTATGTGACGATTTGATCTTTCTAACACCAGCTGTTATACCCAGTGAAGATCATAGCAAGAAAATAACAATGATGCAATAATAAAAATGTTTACTTATAAAAATTCATCATAGGGAAAAGATTGCAATATTTTTCATTTAAAAAGATTAATTAATAAGTCGAAAACAATATAGTGTTTGACCAATAGACAAACATTCAATTGTATAAGCTTAACAATTCCGTTAGGCAAGATTGTTTAAAATATAATTAAATTATTGTTCAAATAAATCTATAAATACAAAACAATGAAATCTGAATAAAAATCAAAATATCGATTTCATTCATTAAAAATATTTTTTCCTTCCAATGAAAGCACCGTTAGTTGCTGTTGAGAAACAACGAACGACCTAAGCAACAATACTTTTTATGATGAATCGGTCGAAAATGAAAAAAAACAAAACATGAATTGATTATAGAAAAAATCATAAAACGGGCAACTATTACAAACTTTTATCTATCTCTAACTTTATTATTTATTATTCCTATTTGACGTGCCGATCGTAAAAACTTAACCATTTTTATTATCACCCAGCTGGCTAAGATTAGAGCTCCATTGAATTTTCGAAGCGTTTCTACATTGACCTGTTGAAAACAATCAATCCGACGAGTCTTATATAATGAGGATCAAAACTTAACTGAACATCGTTGTTCCCGACATCAACTGCTGAGAAGGGTTAGTTTGGTGGTGGATATTGTTACACGTTATTTAGTGTTTTATTTGTTATAAATTATTATTATTCATAATAAGCAAAACATTATAAATGTTGTTCAATGTTTCATTTCTGATAAATTGTTTTAATTAATAATTAAATATTTTATTTTTTTTAAACATTTCAGTCGCGAAAATGCTGTCCTCAACAATTCTCGCTCTCTTCGGCGCAGTCTGCGTGGCCGCCATCAACTATCCTGGGGGACGTGAGAATCTTTCATAATTTTTCATAATTTCACATAATTTTTCATAATTTTTCATAATTTCCATAATTTTGCATAATTTTGCATAATTTTTCATAATTTCAAATAGTTTTGCATAATTGAACATAATTTTTTTTCATATGTGAATGATATTTAGCAAATTGTAATTTAATATTCGACATAAAACGCTTAAAATTCAGAGAGCTTGTGGAAGGTCACTCCAAAATACCACATCCTTGGCTTGGAAAACGTACAATTCAATGATATTGATTCATGCCTGGCGAACTGCTACAACAGAAAAGAATGCTTCGTTGTCGACTTCGACACCAACACCAAGCCGCCCTGCTGGGTGCAGACGAAGAGCATGGTCGTTGATTCCTCGCAACTGAAGCCCATGGACACTGTGACCAACTACATGCTCAGTAGCAAAACTCCTGCTGTTGCTGTTGCAGTCGTTGCAGCAAAACCAAAAGGTGTGTAACGAACATTATTTTAGTGTTATTCCACATTCAGAATAGTATTTTATGAGAAACAGTTTTGTAGATTATAAATCCTATTCAAACGTCCTTTTATTAAAATACTGTGAAATGAATATTACTACAAGAGTATAATCAGTTTATGCTTGTGTGTGTTTTCCAATGTTAAAATGGTGTGGCTATAATTGAAAGGTTATATTTTGTTTATTAAGTTTGACTATATTTTATATTAATAATTACTTTTTTCAGCTGCTGACTTGACTACCTGCTGGACAGTCACCCCGAAAAACCATCTGATTGGATTGGTACAGGCCCCTTACAACGATGTACCATCATGCACTGACTACTGCTTCAAACTCAAGGATTGCTATGCCGTTGATTTCGACACAAACACCAACCCGAAGTGCTGGGTCCAAACTTCTCCTTCGGTTGTTCCGGATGTCAGAAACTTGTTTCCAATGGAGACCGTCACCAACTACATTCTGAACAAGAGCTGCAAAAAATAATGAATGAAATTAATAATTTAATTAACTCTCTATCAATTGAATATTTAAGAACTACCTTAGAAATTAAACGGTTAACAGGTTTTCAATTAATTAATTAATTTTTTGAAAGTACAAATTAATAAAAACATTCTTTAAAACACTTAGTTGTAGTTTATTCTCAATTTCA